AGTATTTTAATTATTTTTAAATAGAAATAAAAATATTTTAATTTTTTTATAATATTTTATTAAAATAACTTAATTTTAAAATATTTTTTTATCTAATTAAAATATTTTTCCTATTTAATTTTTTCCACACCGAAAAGGATAAACATTAATCTCTTTTCATGAACCCCAACACTCCGGCTACACGCAGTCACACAAACGGCAAGTACGCTTCCACCCCAGTTCTAATGGATCCCAAAGGCACCATCATCTTTTCCACCATCAACAGACCAAACTATGTCTTCGATGTCTTTTCCGTCCAACTAAACCACATCACTGTCGCCACTGAGGATCGCCCCACTGACGGCTGCTCCATCAACTTCAACACCCAATTCGTCGATGAAGACCAATCAGTTGTCTTCGTCTCCAAAAGATCAGGATCGCCCCAAACCTATCTCACTTGCCCTGGCCTACCCAATCCCGAGTAGCTAGCATCCGTGCCCCACAGCCTCTTTCACGACCGTCCCATCTTGAAGAACAACCGCCTTTACTTTGTTTCAGCTCAAGAGCAGCCTGATCGCCAATTCCAAAGCTGGGTAGCTCTTCACTCAACCGAAATCGGTGATAAGGACAAGAAAATTACGCGGTTGACACCTTACGGGGCCGTCGATTATAGCCTTGCAGTTTCCAAGTCTGGGAAACTTCTTGCCATCGCATCGTATGGGTCTCGCTCGTGGGGCAATGAATTTCACGAGCTCAACACGGATATAGTTGTTTTCCCAGAATTCGATTTGAGGATGATGACGATGATTCGAGTGATAGCAAGGATGATGAATCAAATGCTGAGAGCGATTTGTCCGACGATCCGTTGGCTGAGGTTGATTCGGACGATGGAGGCTTCATCGCCGTAGGTGAGAGCAGAGAATGCAGACAAAATTCATTTTTGAAATTGAAATTCATAGGTTACAGGGTGAAATTGAAATACATGAATTTTATACTTTTGAATTACTTGGGTGAAACACATGTATTTCACTTAAATTCAACGACTCTTCATTTAAGTAAAAACAAACGTGACATTGAATTTGAAGTATTCAAATTCAAATACACCCTGCAAAATTTATGTTCCCAAACAGAGCACTGATTTGCGTGAACACGATGAGTTCGAGGGCAAGTTCAAGTCCTTCTAGTTGGAAAATAATCTTTTGAAAAAGTAGAATCCCGATTCCGGTTTATATTCGAGTTCTTTGGTTTCAATATTAATACTTATTCTATTATGATCACAAAATAGCTTACTTATTCTATTACCACTAAACATGAGATAATGATTTAAATTGATTTTTTTAATCAACAAAACAAGGGAGTACCGACGATATGCTCCAATACAAATATAATTTAGCTTTTCAATATTACAGACAAAGAACTTACTCACACATAAATTTTGTATATTAAATTTACATAAAATTTTAATAATTCATTTCTTTATTTTTAATTGTTAAAATTTATTTATATTTATTAAAAATAATTATTTTTATATATAAAAAATGATGATAAATTTTAACTATTAAAAATTAAAAAATAAATGATTAAAATTTTCTATAAGTACTATATATAAAATTTGTATATAAGTAAATCTCTACTCTCTACGTGTATATATATATTGAGTACAACTTGCAAAACATTTTTCACATATATATATATGTATATATTGAGTAGGAACAGTCCGCTCCCACCCCAGTGGTATGGACCTTGGGTTAGAGCTATTTTCCTCCTGTGAGTGATATGTTCGAACCCTATAAATCATAATTCTCCTTCACTCACTTAACTAATATACGTAATTAATTTCAATTTGTTCAAATATATATATAT